ATAGTTGGGAAGGGGTGTGGCTAATGCTGCAACGCCATGGTTGAGGTTGCTGTTAGATTTAAATGCTAATTTAACCCTATAGAATCCCAGTTATATTTCTTGGCAATAAATGGGGAAACAGTATTGATTCTAATCAAAAACAACAACCTCCATAGGATATAAAACATTGATTAGTTTTTATTTTAGTTATCTAGAGTTTAACATATATTGTTTCAGATGCATTACATATGCATGCATATATGCAACAATAAGTTTTCATTAAAAAATGACTTGGAATTATTCAGCATTTATAACATTATAAGTAAATTCAAAGTATTTAAAAAAAGATTTAATTTGCTATTTAATCTTTAAACTTAAATGTATTTAATTGAATCAGTAGATTTTACTTAAAGTTGAGGCTCTTAAAATCCTCTTGATTATACTGAGTGAGTGCCTGTCTGTGTAAGACTTGATTGACTTTGGATAAAAACTCTTTTGTACCAAAACAGGTAATTCTTTGGGAAACAGAACTAGTACTCTTCCTGTACGATCTGATAGCTATTTATAATCCTGGTGTCTTCAGTTATTAGAACCAAAGGATGAACCAGCTTTATGGAGGCGCATTGCTCTCCGATACTTCTGATTTTTGCTCTTAAAATATCAGAAGAAAGTGTGAACATTTTCCTTTAAACACAGTTAGATTAACCAATCAAAAGATTGCAAAAGTCCATCATCACCTTCACATTTGCAAATTGTTCATGGCTGAATTTATGTAAAATTGGCCCAATGCTCATGTGAAGCATAGGGAATCATCTGGTCGGCTGCATCCTCCTGATGTTCTGCCAGTTTTTTCTGATCTGAAAGCTGCGTTCAGAGCCAGCAGGCCCGCGTTCAGTCAGCAGAAACGTTAATCAAAGTTCAGAATTATGCAACAACCTGAACTGAATCAGCTGCTCCGCCACTTGGGGTCATAAAACTGACTCACATACTGCCTCATTATCTGTTAGTACGAAGATGAAAGCAGGCGGACGGTAATTATCTGTGCGGAGAAAGGAGAAGGAAATCCTCAGGAGTGAAGGAGAAACAGGTTCAGTGAGAGCAAGAGAGATTATTTCAGATTATTTTTCTCCCTGATTTAAAGCACAGCACTTTACGTAACTTACTTAATGGGTTAAGAGGCTCAGGAAACGGTGTTAAAAATAAAATAACAAATCCTTATTACGGTATTAAACAGAGAACTGGTTCTACTCTATGCCTGGAAGTTTCTGCAAGAGTCTTTCCCACTAATCTGGATTTAGGAACCAGAATATCACCTGTAAACAATCGCAATCTGTTTTCAAACCCCACACAAAACATTCATCCACAGAGAAACTTTCAGGATAGAAAACAAGCCACCATGTTCAGTTTTAGCACATTTTTATTTGTTCCTTTTCAGTCGTTTTGAAAAATCAAAATAAATTGTACAAACAGATAAATTATGGCTCTGTTACAGGAAAGATTGGAGACCTCATTTGATCTTATTGCCGTTCTAACAAAGGTGATATGGGCCAAGTCTGAATCCCCATCCAAGCTGCTGCCCTTTGTGCAAAACTGATATTCCTCCGAAGAATAGGTGGCGCTATTGTCTGGACAGTGCCTTTATTCTCTGCATATCAGGTAACAGTGAATGAATGCTGTGCCTGGAGGACAGTTCAGATTGTTTTTTAAAAGTAGGGTTATGATGAGCATCGTTAGCAGTCAGCATCTTACACAGAGCAGATTAAAACTCATAAAGTCCAAACTCCAGATGCAGATGTTATCTGTTGATCTTATTGGATTTAAGCACAAAGTAGATTTCCACCATCTTAAATAATTTTTAAAGCAATTTAATGGAATGTTATTTCATAAATACTAAATGTTTCTACTCACATCTACATAGGACCGTTATCTACCAAAAACATTTATGATTGTTTAGTGAAGACTGATCCACTCTAACGGTCTGCAGCTGGTTGCATGGAAAGAAGTATAAGTTGTAAAGAGATGAAAGTTATATCGTTTACATTAAAGAAATGTAAACGATATAACGATATAACGATAAACGATATAACGATATCGTTTACATTAAAGAAATGTAAACGATATAATTTAATAAATAATGAAAATTAAATGAAATGAATCATGAAAAGAATCTTGATCAGATATTTGCAAACAGTACGGACTACAGTGTGGTGAGAGGTTTTATTTTTGAGCTAGTTGTACAGTAAATGTTTTCAGGTAGAGTTTGTGATTTTCCCCATTATGATAAATTAGTAATTTAAGAATGATTCACCTGATTTGTGGTATAATCTGGAGAGCTAACATCCAATGGAAAGCTACAGAATAGCCCTTTATTATGAGCTGAGATTCGTGAGGATTCAGACTTGGTCAAAAGAGCCAAAACAAAACTGCAACATTTTCAACCAAAACTAACAAAAACCTTCAATCTGTTGTTCTGATGCAACTGCACTGCGGCATAGAAAACGTAGAAGATACTTCATTTGACAAAATCAATTAGACCTGATTAAAATGCTTTGTTTTTTAATGTTTTTTTTAAAGAGTTCAAAATAAAAGTAGTTTTGGCTGAAAATCCTGCAGCTCATTACTTCAAACTAAAAGTCTTAAGCCTTTAAAACTGTTTAAGGCAGAAGCACTTAAAAAGCTACAAAAATAATAATTTAAAAAACAGAAGAGAGCACATCATCTGTGACAGTTGGGAGTAAATGTTTAGAAGTTTGCAGAGTTTATCTCATTCTGGGTGAACCTTTTTTATTTTACCTGCGACATGTAAATAACTCAACTGGTTAAAAAATCCTTAACATGTAATGAGCTTGTTTTCTATCATTGATAGATATATAGAAAAAAAAACTGGTAAACAAAAGCTAAAGTAGGCTGTTTTTCTTCTTACATGTAAAATATACAACTTATGTCCACAGGGCTCCTCTGGGCTTCAAAAACAACATGGTACCTTTGTGCCTTTCATATGTCCTTTAAAAAATAGGATTCAAGATATGATCTCTATCGTACACAAACATCCTTCATTAATCATCCCTACGCTCGTTGATCGCTTGTTCTTTTTTCTCTATGATAAACGTACCGTATAAAAACAAAGAAAAGGTTTTATTCATGCACATTCTCCCTCACAGGCCCACAGACAGCCACGCCTCAGAGTCACGGATGAACTTTCCTTCCTGTGTTTGAAATCAACATACAATCATGGTTAAAAACTAAGAACATCCATCTTGAGTTCTACAGCTGTGGGAGCGGTTCTGTGACTTCTTATTTGCCTCCATACAAATTCCTTCTGGTTTTTGTTATATTTTTATTATTCAGAGAAAAAAATATTTTTCCAATCATAATTTCCTTAATTAAATGGGGAAAAAATAAATTTGTCTCCAAGAGAACATGGATCTATCCTTTTTCTGATAAATGTTTTGGTTCAACAAGTTTTGGTTTATATATCCAGGCCTGAATACAGTAAAATTAAAGAAATTATTAGTCTGATTGTTGGACAATAGACTGCAAAAAAGTGAAATCTAAGTCAGTCAACTTTCCTTAAAATAAGTCATTTTTTTTCCTGAATTGAGCAGGTAGGTAAAGTGAGACACTTTGCCAATTGAATGAGGCAATTTATATTACAAATAAGAAAAAACAAGCAAGCAGTCTCTTTTCAAGAGCATAATATAAAATAATCATATTTTAAGGTTAAAAATACTCATTCATTGGCAGATCATTTTATTTGTCTACTCAAACTAAGGATAAGTTCACGTATTTTAAGACATTTTACTGACTTTTACATTTTTTCGCATTGAGTCTATGGAGCGTTGTCGCATATCTTTCTTCCTAGTGACCATTAGACTTTATAACCATCACTGCCCTAAAATATAGCAAGTTGTAAATTATACTAAAAACAGCATTTTTGAGAACTACAGTATTTTTCCTTTTCTTTTTCTTTTGAAAACACAGAATTTCCTCTCACTGTTTGGCAATAACTCAGGGCTCTGCAACATGTGGCTCCAGAGCAGCAAGTGGCTCTTTGGAGCTTCTACAATGACTCTTATTAAAGGCTGAAAATGATAATGAACCAACTGGTTTTAAATAAACTATAACAAATACCATTCCGTATATTCTGAAGGAAAACATCCAATCATTTTAAGTACAGTTAGTTTTGCAGCCGGTCAATGATCCAACAAACAATAACAAAACCACTTCTAAACAGCATTGTTAAATTCAGTACTTAAATCTGAAAAAGAAGCTGAGGCATGATCTCAAAGAGGCCAAACTGAAATATTTCTGTAAAGAGCGCTGGTCCAATGTAGAGGATAGAACATCACAAACACCTGATGGCAGTTTTTACAGCTGGTCAGGTTAGTTTGGACAGTTTTTATTCCTTAATATCTGAATTAATCAATTAAAAACCACTTTATGTATGCACTTTGGGCTTCAGGCTATAATATTGAAATTGGTTTGAGATTCTGAGACACTGAAATGTGAGAATAGAGCAAAAACAGAAGGAATCTGTTAGGAGAAGAGAAGCTACAGTATAAACAGCACCTGTATACCTAATACAATAAACAGCTAAATCTGTTTATAAAAGTACCGAGTCAGATAAACCAGTGCAGCTTTTATAATACATGGGATTTACTTGGTAGGCATCTCCTGATGAGGCTGGGCTGACTGGATAAACTTATTTCTTAAACCATTACAAGTTTAAGCTCTAAGATGAAAAATCTGTGGGTTGTGAACAGAAAACTTCATGGGTTCATCACTGAAGCTCGTCCATCAATGGCTCTGGGCAAACCAGTGTTTCCTCAAAACGAACAACATTCACAAAGACACAACAAAGCACTGAATTCCAAAACCTACAGAAGATCACACTACAATCAACTTAATTAAAACCCCGATGGTCCACTGGAAGGGGATTGGAACACACAAAAAAAACAAGGAAAACAGTTTAAAAGAAATTACTCCCGAATCGTCCAAAAGACGAGGAGCTAACAGAGAGACGTGAGACTGGATGACGTGGTCCTGAAAAGAAGTACCAACTAAAAACAAATAACTACCATGCATCTTTGGGCTCTGACAGTAAACTCAGTAAAGTCAACATGTTGGCTATGAGGACAGCAATGTCAATAAAGGCATCCCTAGATCCTTTCGTCCAGGTCTGATGGAGTGTTGAAGAAGCTTTCTCTGTCAGGTGGTGAGGTGGGGGGCTGTGGAAGCGTCGCCCCTCGTGGTCAACGGCAAAAGAGCCAGATTAAAGAAAGAAGCTGTCGCTGTGAGAGAAAAGACACTCAGAAAGAATGACCACAGTCCTTCTGAGCGTCTCATACCCCGGCAGGCAGCTGTCACCACCTTCTGAGGAGTGTTCACAGACGTACAGGAGGGGGGAATTCAAAGCCAGCTAACGGTTGTTCTTTGCTGCCTCTTTCGCTGCCAGGATGAGAGGAGTCAGACTGGAAAGAGGCTTCGCCATCTTCAGAAACTGGTGCTGGAAGAGGACGGGGGAGAGGAGGCCGGGAGGGAGGAACAGAAGGAACATATTTATTCAAAGCAGAGATTGAAAACTCCCAGTTACAGTTCATGTCCTCATGTTTTCTGTTTAGTGCAACAAATGAGAAAAAGTTGTTTTTAAATCACACTTTGAATCAGTGTTATCTAGCCAACCACTTTTACTGCTTTGTTTTGTTTTCAGATGGTAATTACCCTTATTTAACTTGGCTTGTTTTCCATCAGGCTGTGGCGATTAAATGAGCCCAAAACAAGCGGCCAGGATAATTAGGTAACTAGAGGCGTTCATGTAAATGTAGTTGTTAAAACAAGACACAGCAAAACACAGTCCAATCTGTTTATTTTTAGAATGTCCTCATTTGATAATACTTTAAAAGCTCATTATTGATCTATAAGGTACAGACTAGTCTCATCCCATCTTAGGAGGTCAGTTGTTTTAAGTAACCATTTTCCCTAAAAACAACCAAAAACTATTTTTTCCGGTGAAGCACTTTGATTTAATTCATTTAAATTAAGCCCTATTAATTGTTTTGTTTTCCATGACTTGAAGTTAATATAACCAACAGTTTTTTTTTATTCAGATAAAAGGTCAAAAGCCAAACAGACATGATTATTTTTCAACTCAGATGTTCTAAAACACAGGAAGGAGGACCCCAGTTTTCCCTTTTATTATTATCATTTACTTACTTAACAAGGTAAAGAAAATAATAGCTAAAGCTGTTAGTAAAAGAAAAACGATGAACCTCTCCCTCCGTCTGCACATTTTGTTATTGCTGATGAGAGAAAGCCAGCCCTGCTGTACCTGCAGGAGTTCTTTAGCAGAGCCCCGTTTCTCCACGTCCATCTCCAAACACCGGTTCAGGAAGTCTCTGAATATTGTTGACAGCTTCTCTGGGTTCTGCAGCTCTGGCGTCCCGTTAGTTGCTATGAGATACAGCGCCTAAACGATGCAGAAACAAAAAAAACCCAAAACAACATTTTTTTATAGCATTAAAAAGGCAAAGAAAGGCTTTCAGTCATAACATAACCTAAATGTTTTACTGCCATCTAGTGGCTGATTTAATAAAGACTGAAATTGAATCTGAACATTTGACTTTGTTGTCGCTCCGCCTCATTGCGTCATCCAACAGGAGTATAATATTCATGTCAGTGTTGGAATGCGATTTTACTTTTAATGAAATCCACTTCCTCATAATATTGTTAAGTTCTTCCTTATTAAGCTATTTCAGTTCAATTTAATGCTGAAAACCCTTATTTTGTCTGCTAAAATTGATCACAAATGAAGAAACCCTTTCTTCATTTTTTTTTTGGAAAAACTAAACATAAAAACTGTTAAACGTTCAAATCAACTTGATGCATTTAAAGTTAAATCTGAAGCTGCCGCTCTCACCCTGAGGGGATTCTCATTCAGATATGGCGGCTCCCCCTCCACCATCTCAATGGCCATGATGCCCAGGGACCAGATGTCCACTTTGGGTCCATAAGCCTTTCGGGTCACCACCTCTGGAGCCATCCAGTACGGCGTGCCGACCATGGTGCTGCGCTTACTCTGCTCCGGTGTGATCTGGGCGCAGAATCCAAAGTCGGCTGGAAGGAGGAGAGAGAGAAAGCACATTTGGAGATTAAAAGACCTCAATAAACTTTAACCATTTTCATCTTTTTTGGATGAGAGTCACTTTGGGCCAAATCACTTCATTTTCTTTTATCAGACTGTTACATTGGTATTTTTGATTGAATATTTGCGCCATTTTCATGATAGAGACACAAATAAAAAAGTAGTTTATTGAGAGCTGATAACTGAAAAATTGTTTAGCAGAAAAATGCTTTTAGACGTAAAGTAGATAGATTACTAATTCACTACAGGCACAAACTGGGACAGCTCCCATCAAGTCTGTGTTTTCTGAAAGGATGGAGGGTTAAAAGTAAACCCAGCACACATCTGAGCTGCCAAGAAAACAGACTAAACGTGTGAGATGTTTCACTCTACACTTCCTTTTCTTAATGAAAGGTTGCCATCATTTATGGGGGCAAAGGCAGCCAAGAGAAGGGCCATGAAGCATCCATGATGGGAAGAAAAAAAAGAGAGAAATCGCACACCTTTCTTAACCTATTTTTCCACAGTTCTCATTCCAAGTGAAATAAATTTTCTGATTTTCTCAGAGCATGGAGGAAGCATTTCGTGAGAAAGGCAAAAGAAACAGGAAACAAATTAAGACTGACTGAGTTTGACGGAGCCGTCCATGCCCAGCAGAATGTTGTCGCTCTTGATGTCTCGATGGATGACCTGGTTCGAGTGGAGAAACTCTAAGGCCTGAAGACACTGAAGAAAAACAATGGAGCTTGAATACAGTTATCAAAGATACATCACAACAAATTAACAAGAATAATACTGCTGGTGTTAAAACATACCTCATGCTAAAGCAGTTAGAATATTACATGAAGAAGTTGCATTCTGATGGCTGCAGTCCATTTAGACAAAGTTCTGGCTTTGTGAACATTATAAATAAAAGTAGCGCTAAAGCTCCTCTAGTTAAGCCCGATGTTTGTTACTTTTGGCAGCCAGAATGTCGGCCATTAAAAGCTTTATCTGGTTTACAGATGTTATTCTGATGGGAAAGTAATTAACACTGTATCCTGTCTATCAGACTATTTTTACAAAATTAAATACTGTAATTTGTAAACTTTCTTTAGGTCAAGTGTTTTCAACTTTTTAGCATGAAATGATAAATAAAATCATGTTGTTTGCCAATTAAAACAAAATAAGTCCTTTCACTCTTTCCACAGTAAACGTTGAATAGAAATAATGAAAAACTCCAAAAAAGGTTCACTATAGTGAAGTGGAAATGTGTTTGTTTTCTCATTTAAAGTGTGGGGTTTCTGTTGGGTTTTATTTTTTCTAAGCATGTGCTTTGGGAGTTTTCTTATTTCAATGAAACATATCACATACATTTTCTTGATGAGAACAATTTTTTGACAAATAAAGCCCTAAAAATGGTTTAACCTGTTTCTTACCTCTCTGCACACAGCAGCAATCTGAGCTTCATCCATACAGGTTTCCGTGACGACGTCGGTCAGAGAACCTCCAGCCAGGTACTCCATCACCACCCAGAGCTCGTCTCCAACCAGATAACTAGACCAGGCAACAGGTACAATTTAGATTATTTACACAATCAGTGTTTACAACTGTGGGCAAAAAATAGAAAAATCTAGATAAAAAAAATTTAAATAATGTTTTGTTTTTAAACAACGATAAATGAACTAACAACATGTTAACCAAACTTATAAGATTAAAACCAATGTAGGATGCTAACCATTAGCTCTGGAAGAAAAAAAAATCATCTTAATATATTAGTAAACTTATTTTGATAATTTTTTTTTTTTGTGCACCTGTGAACATCTGTTTGCCGTACCAGTTTAAACCAATCAGAAACCAGTGACCCATGGGCAACAGAGTGCTCATAAAACGGGAGCCAACACACATTACATGTTCCTGAATGATTTAACAGTCCAGAAAAAAAAAAAAAACACATTAAACACACAGCCAGTATATCAGTAACAGCAAAATGGTGTTTCCATGGAGATGACAGCGCTGGCACCAGCCTCCTTGATACCTCCGCATCAGATGAGTTACCGTGGTAACCAGACATACCACAGACGCTGGGTTTCTATGAACTGAATGCACCCGTCAAAGTCTGACCAAAACCAGCTCTTTGGATGTTTTGCTTTAACTGACAGACCTGAAAACTCCCAGAGCAGTTCTTGTGTTCGGATCACTAACTTCATTACATAGTTCAGCGACTTTTGAACACTAACAATCTGGAGGGCTCAAAATAATCGATTAAATCTCTACTTTTTAAATTAAACATATAAAAGGTTAACTTTAAGAAGGAAAAGATAAACTAATGTAGATCTGTTCTTAAAATAGAATGTTTGTAATAAATGCTTTAAATTCAAAGCTGAACAACAAGATGACACTAAAGTTATATTATGAGGAAATCTTATAAAATGAAAGAATAGCACTAAAAAGACAGAAAGTAATTCAGTCCCATGAGTGTGCAACAGTTAAAAACCCATATGTCAATACTATTAACAACACATCTTAGTAAATCCCAGTTGTTATCACTCATCATCCTGTGTGAGGCTGCAGTTGTTTAGCTGCAATATTTAAGTGTCACGCATTCACTCTCTGTATGTTCATAATATACCTGAAGCTACAGTTTAACAGATCCTAAAGATAACAGAGAGCATGCTGGGATATCCTGAAGGTGGTTTGATAAAACACTTAACAACAATATAACATCTGAATCTATGTCTCAAAATATTCACATTATTAGAAAGTTCCAATAAACTGTAAATACTTTTGTTTAACTAAGAACTAAAAATTCCTTTATATTTTTAAAAAGACTTTTCTCAGTCCAAAAGCTTTCCCCACCACCTCCTTCCTCTCGTTCCAGTGATTTATCTTCTCCAAGGACTAGAAGTGTGCTGTGAGAGCTAACCTGTCCAGGTAGTTGACAATGTTTGGGTTTTTGTTTTCCCTCATCACCAGAATCTCGTTGATGATCAGCTCTTTTTTCGGCTGCTGCTGCAAGTTCATCTGTTTGATGGCGACCTGAGGGGAAAGACCGCAATGAAGTAAAGGATGACATGAACAGGATGCATACACCTACAGGGAGTAAAGAGTTTACGATCTGAGAGTAGACGTAATGAGTGTGAGTTTGACAGAAGGAATCAGCTGTATAATGTAATCAGCTGGGTTGTTTTGCTTCAAATAAAGGCTTAAAAAAGGTTAAATAAATGTCTGTTGCACATATCTTATGAATATTTCAATTAGGCTTTGGTTTGAAATTTCATTTAAACTTACTTTAGTTACTGAATTGATATTTCAGAGACATATTTTAAAACAAATATTCAAATCAGAAATGACTTTATGTTTGCAGGAGTTAGACGCTCCTTATTTCTTTGGTTTTATAGAAGTTTCAAGCTTATAATTAGTAGGATGTAGTTTTTCCCAGTTTTGTGGCAAATGTTTTATAGATTAACATTAAAATATAACAAGTTTAAGGTCTCATCAGTTTTTGAAGAACCAACCTCCTGTCCTGTAGCAATGTCGATAGCTGTGTACACCGTGCCAGAAGCTCTAAGAAAAAGCAAGAAAGTCCAGTTAGACAAGTTTGAGCAGGTGGTAGGCTGAATTTATACTATTTAAAGAAAACATTTTTGTTGGTTTTATATCTTTTTAGAACATATATATACTTCAACATGTATACAATACAACAACAACTCCTCAAGGATACTGTTAGAGTGGCTAAGTTTAGGAAACAAAAATAAAACACATTTAAAATGCCATATACTGTACATAAAAAAAGAGAAATTTAAATGCTTTAAATAAAATTCTATATAAAGCTCATAAATCAACTACTTGGAAAGATAAACTGATCTAAATCATCATGAAATGTTGGGTGTTTTGCTTCACAATAAACACTTCATGTGGCTCCAGGTTTAACTAAAAGACGACTTGTTCACAAGCCTCTATATTTCCCTCCAAATGCTTTCTGCAAAATGTTTACAGAGAAAAAAGTAGTAAGTAAAGGCTGACTAATAAACAACCCTTGATTATAGTTTACTTAAAAACAACAATTTAAGTTAAAAAAAGGGCCTGTAATAAACAAAACTGGGAGGAAATGGGTATAAATAAAATGCATCATACATCACATGTACAGGATGTTTTATTATGAGGCAACTTGGAACCCAGGACTTTCCAGAACTTACCCTTAATAACTATTATACTACAATTCTCCACTGTATTTTAAGAATAACTTAAGGGTTACTTTGGGGGAGGGAATTACTGATTTAACTTTTAATTTGGGAATTTCCAGAATTTACAATAAACTTTACTGCAAGTTAGGCTAGATTATATGGACAAAAAATTATGTTTCAATATTTTTAAATGAATGAAAATATCAGAAATTCTTCAACATGTTTGTCTTTTCATAAAATAATCAAAAAAAAGGCCGCTGTGAATAAAAGCTCTGCCCCAAATGTCAGGCCTGTACCTTCTTCAACAAATAGATGTGGATAAACATCAGATCATCAATAAAAATAAGCCAATAGAATTCATAATAGTGTTATTAAATTGCAATGTAGACCATCTGATATAGACTTATCTTTTATCTCTTTTGAAAAAAAAAAAAAAAAGATATTTTCAAAATCACAATATATTGCCCAACCTTAATCTAAGTCAATAAATACTTATAAGAACTTATATTTCATGCACTGGAGTGTGTCACAAATTGACTCGTTCCCCCAGCCTTTCCTGGAGCAGTCCAATGGGCTCTAGTACAGGTGCTGGTCATAAAATTAGAATATCATGAAAAAGTAGATTGATTTCAGTAATTCCATTTAAAAAGTGAAACTTGTATATTATATTCATACATTACATACAAACTCATATATTTCAGATGTTTATTTTGTTTAATTTTGATGATTACAAATGACAACAAATGAAAATCTCAAATTCATCATATCAGAAAATTAGAATATTACTGAAGACCAATAAAAACAAAGGATTTATAGAAATGTTGGCCAACTGAAAAGTATGAACATGAAAAGTATGAGCATGTACAGCACTCAGTATTTAGTTGGGCCTTCTTTGGCCTGTATTACTGCAGCAATGCGGCGTGGCATGGAGTCGATCAGTCTGTGGCACTGCTCAGGTGTTATGATAGCCCAGGTTGCTCTAATAGTGGCTTTTAGCTCTTCTGAATTGTTGGGTCTGGTGTATTGCATCTTCTTCTTCACAATACCCCATAGATTTTCTATGGGGTTAAGGTCAGGAGAGTTTGCTGGCCAATTAAGAACAGGGATACCATGGTCCTTCAACCAGGTACTGGTAGCTTTGGCACTGTGTGCAGGTGCCAAGTCCTGTTGGAAAATGAAATCTGCATCTCCAAAAAGTTGGTCAGCTGCAGGAAGCATGAAGTGCTCTAAAACTTCCTGGTATGTGGCTGCGTTGACCCTGGACCTCAGAAAACACAATGGACCAACACCAGCAGATGACATGGCACCCCGAACCATCACTGACTGTGGAAACTTTACACTGGACTTCAAGCAACGTGGATGAAGTGCCTCTCTTCTTTTCCTCCAGACTCTGGGACCTTGATTTCCAAAGGAAATGCAAAATTTACTTTCATCAGAGAACATGACTTTGGACCACTCACCAGCAGTCCAGTCCTGTTTCTCTTTAGCCCAGGCAAGACGCTTCTGACGCTGTCTGTGGTTCAAGAGTGGCTTGACACAAGGAATGCGACAGCAGAAACCCATGTCTTTCATACGTCTGTGTGTGGTGGTTCTTGAAGCACTCACTCCAGCTGCAGTCCACTCTTTGTGAATCTCCCCCACATTTTTGAAGGGGTTTTGTTTCACAATCCTCTCCAGGGTGCGGTTATCTCTCTTGCTTGTACACTTTTTTCGACCACATCTTTTCCTTCCCTTCGCCTCTCTATTAATGTGCTTGGACACTGAGCTCTGTGAACAGCCAGCCTCTTTAGCGATGACCTTTTGTGTCTTGCCCTCCTTGTGCAAGGTGTCGATGGTCGTCTTTTGGACAACTGTCAAGTCAGCAGTCTTCCCCATGATTGTGTAGCCTATAGAACTAGACTGAAAGACCATTTAAAGGCTTTTGCAGGTGGTTTTAGTTAATTAGCTGATTAGAGTGTGGCACCAGGGGCCATCAATTTTGAACCTTTTCACAATATTCTAATTTTCTGATATGATGAATTTGAGATTTTCATTTGTTGTCATTTGTAATCATCAAAATTAAACAAAATAAACATCTGAAATATATGAGTTTGTATGTAATGTATGAATATAATATACAAGTTTCACTTTTTAAATGGAATTACTGAAATCAATCTACTTTTTCATGATATTCTAATTTTATGACCAGCACCTGTATAATGGAGTTACTTTTGACTTAAAAGTAAACTTTTTGTTCTACAGGTCAACTAGAGCGCATGATGGGCAAACTTAAACTTAAAGGGATAGTTCGGGATTTTTGACATGAATCTGTATGGCATCCCCATCACCAGTGTCATGCAATCACACTGACTTACCCCTGGCAGCATCCTGTGAGCAGAGTTCTCGTCCAGTTTTGGTCAAGCCGAAAGTAGTCCGGCAGGTTTGCTAGACCCAGCGAAATAAAACGTTTCTCTTCCCAAAACATTATGTGTTCAAAAGAGCGATATTTTTGCATCCCAAAAACATTGTAGTGGAAAAAGTCACACGTCGTTATCACTTGGTCCTATTTTCTCTCTGTTCGTATCAGTGCGCGCCGTCATTCTGACAGCGAGCTCAACAACAGCCAGATGCATGTCTCGCTCCGCCTAGCGAGACATGCATCTGGCTGTTGTCAGGTTAGTAGGCCCTAGCTGTCAGGTCATGGTGTCGCGCGCACTGATACGAACAGAGAGAAAATAGGACCAAGTGATAACGACGTGTGACTTTTTCCACTACAATGTTTTTGGGATGCAAAAATATCGCTCTTTTGAACACATAATGTTTTGGGAAGAGAAACGTTTTATTTCGCTGGGTCTAGCAAACCTGCCGGACTACTTTCGGCTTGACCAAAGCTGGACGAGAACTCTGCTCACAGGATGCTGCCAGGGGTAAGTCAGTTTGATTGCATGACACTGGTGATGGGGATGCCATACAGATTGATGTCAAAAATCCCTAACTATCCCTTTAAGTCTTACAGGCCTAATTTTATGAACTTACACGTAAAAAACATCAACAACTAAGTCCTTTAAATGACTGGGGTGTATCATGTATTGATTTTGATGTAAATACTTTGTGGAACTTATGTTACACATTACTTTCCATGAATTTGAAGGTTAATCCTATGGGATACAATGACTAGAAGTGTGTTATCTTAAAACTCTTACAGCTTATTTTCAGGGGCCTTTTCATTTTCTTTCAATGCTGTGAAATTTACCTTTAATTTTTGGAATGTTAATAAAATTTCTTAAAATAACCTGTAATCCCTGCAAACTACTAATGACATCAACACAACCCTGTACGTTAAAGTTTCTTGTAAAGGAAAATAGCTGAAAAATAGATGGAAATTTTCTGGAAAAATAAATCAGTCCTGGAAAGGTTTTTTTTTTATTTATTTTTTTAGTTTTGGAGATAAAAAAAAAAAAAAAAAAAACGGTATGAAAAGTGTACACTGTAATATGTGTCACTACCAGATTTTAGACTTTTTACATTATAATTAAAAAAGCACTCACCCCTGTCCTATCTTTTCAAATCGTGTATATTTCTTCTTGGGGTCTCCAACGCTAACAATTGTCCCTGAGGAGAATAAAAAAGAGAAAGAACAGAACAAATTTATTTATTGACCAAGAAAACAAAGCAGCAAAAAGTCATCCAAAACAACATTTATAATCATTTCATTGGTAGAAAAGTGAGTTTCTATCCATTTTTATTCTTCTCTACATCTTCTCTGTCAAACTTAGTAAACTTAATGCAGCGTTAAAAACCAAGGAACACAAAATCTGAAACCAAAGGTAACTTTAAGGAAACTAATTTCCTAAGAGAAAAGTCTCAACACAGAATCAGTGAATAGTCAGCTGTTAATTGTGATAAATGGCCAAAGGAAAAGAATTAGAGGATTAATTTAGGGGGAAAAAAGCAACCACAGGAGATTGAGAGAAAGAACAATTAATCAGACAGAAGGATTGCACAGAGGAGTCAGCTGAAAGTGGATATCAGGTCTGTCAATAAGAGGCAGACAGACAAGCAGTGTCCTGCTCTTACCAGCAGAGGGAGACCTGAGCACATCTGAACAGGCATGGTGAAAATATACAGTTTTATCCATACAGTATATATACACCAAAACATCTCATCATCAAGGGGGTAAAGACTTATTGCCTAATGTGTGGAAGTTTTAGTAACTGATTTGGAGCTATGACGGACAAGAAGAAAGAACTGCTATTTTCAGGCTACTTGTTAAAAAGGGCTGCAGATTGCTGTGAGGAGACATTTCAGCTAAAACAAAGTGCTGCAGCTTATTAACGAGTTGGTGAAACTCGCTCAGCAGGAAACAATGAGGACAGCTATTTTAAAAATCATTTGTCAGATTCCTAAGAGCCAAACAATCTCCTGCTGCTGGGAAACCCCGTTCAGTAACGGGCCTGAAGCGCCATGTTGAAAGGGATGGATACAATGCTGTTATATAACCCATGGCAACTTTCCCCTTAGATTTTCTTTCTTTGTCGCTGTTAAATATAACCTTAACTCCATTAAGACCTATATACACTTTGTAATTAATTATTTTAATTTCTAAGAGGGGGAAAAAAATAACTAAAGCATTCTCCTTCGGGGTTTATTGAGTAGAGTTTATGGTTCCATCAATTACAGCAAGTTGTCTAAGTGCTAAAGTAGCAAAGCAGCAAAATATAATCAAAGTTCATTTGATTATATTTGCAATATTCTTTTTCTGAAATGCTCTGTTATTGGTCGAATTTAGAAATGCCAGTTACTGATGAGTGGGTTCTGTATCGCTCCACGTTTTCTTCATTTCTGCATAGTTCGATGGAGTCTAAAAGACATATGGGAACGACTTTGTGTCAGATACACTATATTGCCAAAAGTATTTGCTCACCTGCCTTGACTCACATATGAGCTTAAGTGACATCCCGTTCCTAATCCATAGGGTTCAATATGACGTCGATCCACCCTTTGCAGCTAGAACAGCTTCAACTCTTCTGGGAAGGCTGTCCACAAGGTTTAGGAGTGTGTTTATGGGAATTTTTGACCATTCTTCCAGAAGCGCATTTGTGAGGTCGCACACTGATGTTGGACGAGAAGGCCTGGCTCTCAGTCTCCGCTCTAATTCATCCCAAAGGTGTTCTATCGGGTTGAGGTCAGGACTCTGTGCAGGCCAGTCAAGTTCATCCACACCAGACTCTGTCATCCATGTCTTTATGGACCTTGCTTTGTGCACTGGTGCACAGTCATGTTGGAAGAGGAAGGGGCCAGCTCCAAACTGTTCCCACAAAGTTGGGAGCATGGAATTGTCCAAAATGTCTTGGTATGCTGAAGCATTCAGAGTTCCTTTCACTGGAACTAAGGGGCCAAGCCCAGCTCCTGAAAAACAACCCCACACCATAATCCCCCCTCCACCAAACTTTACACTTGGCACAATGCAGTCAGACAAGTACCGTTCTCCTGGCAACCGCCAAACCCAGACCCGTCCATCAGATTGCCAGATGGAGAAGCGCGATTCGTCACTCCAGAGAACGCGTCTCCACTGCTCTAGAGTCCAGTGGCGGCGTGCTTTACACCACCGCATCCGACGCTTTGCATTGCACTTGGTGATGTATGGCTTGGATGCAGCTGCTCGACCATGGAAACCCATTCCATGAAGCTCTCTGCGCACTGTTCTTGAGCTAATCTGAAGGCCACATGAAGTTTGGAGGTCTGTAGTGATTGACTCTGCAGAAAGTTGGCGACCTCTTCGCACTATGCGCGTCAGCATCCGCTGACCCCGCTCCGTCAGTTTACGTGGCCTACCACTTCGTGGCTGAGTTGCTGTCGTTCCCAAACACTTCCATTTTCTTATAATACAGCTGACAGTTGACTGTGGAATATTTAGGAGCGAGGAAATTTCACGACTGGATTTGTTGCACAGGTGGCATCCTATCACAGTTCCACGCTGGAATTCACTGAGCTCCTGAGAGCGACCCATTCTTTCACAAATGTTTGTAAAAACAGTCTGCATGCCTAGGTGCTTGAATTTATACACCTGTGGCCATGGAAGTGATTGGAACACCTGATTCCAATAATTTGGATGGGTGAGCAAATACTTTTGGCAATATAGTGTATCTACCTGTATTACTTTATCTGGGGGTTATTTATTGCCATGTGAGATCTTTTAGCCACCTACATGTTGTCAGAGAGGTATTGTTTAAGTGTATTCTTGATTCTTCAGGTTAGGTGGAAGAACCTCTTCTGTCCTAAACATCTGGTTAATCACAGTTAATCCATGAGTTGGCTTGAAATATAAGTACTCACTTGCTTAGGTCTGGTAGATTGGTCAGCATTCCCCCCCTTCATAGGTGAAATCATCTTTTCAAACCGCATTTATACTTTGTTTTATCTGTTTGGTACTAATGCTTGTTTGAAGATCTATAATATTAAAAGTCCCATATTATGCAAAATTCACATAATAGACATTTTGTAACGCTCATGTGTCCTGAAGCTGCTGTATGCAATTCACAAATGAAATAAACCCTGAACCTCTCTCACTACAGTTTTCCACCTCTTATCTAATGTGTGCTCAAAATGCTCTGTTTGAAAAGCATTCCCTTTATGATGTCATAAGGGGAAATAAAAATGTCCAGAGCAGTCTGCAGCGGCCCATCGGTGAAGGTAGGGCCTTCATCTAATGTCTTATTCCACGCTCCAAGTGGCCGTCTCTACAAACTAACTGGTTGTCATGGTTGCTTGTTGTGGGGGCGCAGGAAAGGGCATAAAAAGCTAAAACAGCTCATCCAGAGGAGGGCTGAATAAGGAGATTTTTGGTAAATGCGGTCTGCCTAATCTTAGAAGAATTTCCCTGCACAAATGACAGAATAATGCCGTGGAGGGCTCTTTGTAAATTATAATTTTTTTTCTTCCAAATGCAGCACGATATGAGACGTTTAAGGTGTGGAGAAAAAAAATGAAAAAAAAAATTGAAAAAAAATGAAAGACCTGTAAGGGGTCACACTAATATTTTAAGGTCCAGTGAAATCCACAGGTTCTTGGTAAATTTTTGGCTCATTGTAAGCCATAAATATCAAAGTTCATATGAAATTTAATGCTGACATGTATGCAACCAGGATTTAAATAAAGCACCAAAATATCTGCAAAAGCGATGGATGGCTTGATGGATGGGAATTGAAGAATTTTAAAAATTTTCCTTTTCCAGAATTTTCTTGAAATAAGTAGGAAAGAACTTCAACAGAGTTCTGCACGGACAATCTGGACTTCTGCAGTATTTTTCTTCTAAACAATGTTTCCTCATCCTCCATCTCTCACTTCACACCTCTTAATGCTGTTTCCTCCACTGATTTAAATTTAGAGGTGTTAGGCATGTGGTTTGTAAACATTGGATTAACTAGAAACTGTTAAAATGCTGTCAAATAAAATCTTGTTTGTGTATTTCTAGAAAAATTATCTACTTTTATGTTAATAAAGAAAAAAGCTGGAATTGGATTTTCAGTATAAAATAACTTTAACCTGAAGTTATATGAGGAATGTACAGAGTCTAAAGTGAGCAAACAAACAAAAATTATAAAGTTTGCTTTTCTTTAGCAGGTAATACATTTTATCCCAGATACAAATATATTTTTATGCTTTTTAAATAACTTGCAAAAGTCATCATCAGCTTGTGTTGACCCTTAATATAAGCCAATCCATTCTTAGAAAGAAACAAAACGCTAACACCCTGTCAAGAGACTAAAATAAGCAGGTGGAGCCTCTGCTCTCATTCTGCAGCAGGTATAAATAGTTTCATCCTTTGGTCTGTATCTGTACTCTGCAGCAGAGTAAAAATCAGAACGCTAAAGATCAGCCCCTGTCCACCCATGAGTGCACAGGGTGTGCTGCTGTCAGACTTACGTAGTTTTTCCAGGATCTCCTCATCAGACATCTTCTTCTTCTTACTTTTATCTTGCGTGCGAGGCAGAGATGGGCCGGGGGCGGGGCTTGCACTGGGGGGGCTGCTGGGAGCCGCCTCTGCAGGTGGGGAGGGGGTGACGGCAGCTGTGGCTGCGGTTGTTGGTGGGATGATGGGGGAGGTGGCTGCATCTTTGGTTGAAGGAGGAGGGAGGGGCTCGATCACCGATCGGGTGTATATCTAATGAAACAGAGGTTCAACTGGGTGAATTAACACAATTAAACGAAATCATGCTGTAAAATACCTGTAGTCTTAATTGCAGAAGAGTTTACACAGCTGTGGAATATTGTTATGCATTCTGAATATTACATAAACACAAAGTTTACCAATGATAAAAAAAAAAAAGATAAATGGAAATTTAGAGCAAGGTCAATATTTCATTTGTTTAACAATGAAATAAAGTAATAATGTTTCTAACTATCTTTAATTTTTTAGAAAACTTTGATATACAAATTCTACAATAATCTCTAAATAACTTAAAAACATATCAGAAGTAAATTTTAAAACATTTAATTAGGTCATTAACCCAGATGATTAAAAACCATCCTGTGAAGAAGGAGCTTAGAATAAATTGTAGTTGTGAGATATTTTAGTCTTTCAGATCAACAAGCATAAAAAGTCAGCCAATAATAGGAGTGCAGTGTGTGTGCTGGTCTGAGCATGTTTGTGATGCTGGGAGTCGTTGCATTAAAGTCATCGCCGTGGTAACACTAAGAGAGGCAGCCTCTCCACCGCCACCCGGTCTGAGAAAGGAGCAACAAAGGATGTTTGTGTCTATTACAGATTTATGCCTGTAAGAAAGTTTTTCATTCTGATACTAACGTGATTAATTGTAAAATGTGTATTTTTATATGCTTTTTTTTTTTTCTTTTTTAGAACCAAGACATTTATCTCAACTCGACTTTCATCAGATAATTCTTCTAATTAAAACACAACCCAGCTGAGAGTATTTTTCTTTTCTCTGTTCTGTAACCAAAGGATCTGCGAAGTTAAAAAATAGAAATCTAGCTCTAGAACGGACAGCTGGGATTTTTCCAAGCCAAAATCACACCTCTGATTGCACTAATTTGTTTGCAGTTTGTAGATTTTACAAGGTCAAAAAATCACACACACTGAACTGTAGTTAATTTTCTGTCACCTGAGGCATTTTCTTGACATTTTAACATTTAATTAATTGTATAAAAATATTTATATTTCAATAAAATATTATATTTCATATATATATATTAGTGCTGTCAAAATTATCGCGTTATTATCGCGTTAACGTGAGGCCATTTTAACGGCGATAATTTTTTTAACGTGAGATTAACGCTATGTGGTTTTATGGTACAATTTTCCAAGTACATCCCGCTGCAGCCTGCGGGAAGGCGGGGCTATTTTCCCCCAGTCTATGCATTTCTCATAGGCTTCGAGAGCGGACCTCCTCAAGGGAAAAAGACGCTCATACACTGGGTGACGCTAGTGCCTTTTCTTTAAGCCCCACCACCAACAAACAAGTTGAGTGTCTGGTGCCTAGTAGCAACCTGAAATACGCTGAGAAAACAGATTACTGAGGTGAAATGGAATCTGCTACGGCACTCTTGCTGTCTGTGTACGCCACAGGTCAGTATCGTGTGTGTGTGTGTGTGTGTGTGTGTGTGTGTGTGTGTGTGTGTGTGGGTGGGTGGGTGTGTCTGTGTGTGGGTGGGTGGGTGTGTGTTCTCATTTTTGTTAAGAGGCTGAAAAGTAACTTTCTAGAGCATATACTACCTCCATCTAGTGATGTCGGTCTATTGATTTTGATGTATTGATTGAAAATTGTTCATTATTACCTTGGTTAATTAACATCTAATGTTAACTCTACTAAATTTTATAGCAGTAGGGTAAAATGCTTGTCTTTGTTCAAAATACTGTATTAACTGTAAAGACTGTCTTTTACATCAGCCTGTTTTCAGGGCCTTTTTTTTGGCTACATATTTGTTATTTTTGGCATAAATCAGTATCTGTGACCTGTTTTCATTTTAAAAAAAGAACATTGGCACAAACCTAGCCTGTATGTATTTTTTTGTATGTCATCGAGAGTATTTAAATGATTTTCAATCAGGAAAAAAATGTGCGATTAAAATGCGATTAATCGCGAGTTAACTCAGGCATTGATGCGATTAATTGCGATTAAAAAAATTTAATCGATTGACAGCACTAATACGGTATATATATATATATTAAATCCAGTCTGTTGCAGCTCACTTTGATATGCTCAATTTACTGAATGTGGATTTGAGGACTGGAATGAACTACTAACTATCATGGAAATAAAAGGGTAAAATCTCAACTTAGATAAACTCTAAATTATTGGAAAAAACAAGCCTAGAATCACTATAGGTTCTCCAAACAACAAACCCTGAGCTTCCCCTCTAACAGATCTAGAAACTGAACATTTGTCATCTCATCTGGAACAAATAGAGTCACTTTTCTTAGTCAGAGCAAAAACTGACCCAGACGCGACACAAAACCTGCTTCTGATTTCCTACCTTTTCCTCTACGAATCTGAAATGAATCACAGCTGCGCCATTAAAATTCATGAGATATTTTTTTAAAAACTGGGAACTTTGGCTGTAAATATTGTTATTGAACTAAAGTGAAAAGATGTTGGAGACATTTTTAAAGAAAAATTAAAACTTTAAAGTTGCCAGGTAGCTTTAAGTTATAAAAAATAATATCTAATGTGCCATTTTATTTGGTCGCAGTTATGTTTGCTTAACACAAACAGAAAAACAGATCTGTGCTTCACCTTTCCCTCCATCTGAGAAGGTTTAGAAAGGATCGTTTTCTTCCTTTTTGAAAGGGCTGCCTGGTGTGACTGGTTGGAGCATGAGGTCGCTAATGAATGTCAACAGAGGAAGAGGCTTGTGGGTCCAAACGAATGCCCCAACGCACCAGCAGGGCGTTCTGCTGTCTGGACCTGCTCTAATGGACAGTTTGAATTGTCTTAGGGGGACGAAATAAAAACCCAAAACCAGAAAAGTTGGCATGTTATGTAAATCAAAAATAAAAACAGAATACAATGACTTGCTAATCTTTTTCAACCCATATTCAGCTGAATACAATGCAAAGACAATATATTTAAAGTCCGAACTGAGAAACCTAATTTTGTTTGCAAATAACCATTAACTCAGAATTTAATGACAGCAAAACATTGCAAAAAAGTTGCCACAGGGGCCTTTTTAACACTGTGTTACATCGCCTTTCCTTTTAGCAACACTCAGTAAACGTTTGGGAACTGAGGAGACCAATTTGGGAAGCTTTTCAGGTGGAATTCTTCCCCATTCTTGCTTGGTGTACAGCTTAAGTTGTTGTAGGTTACGTTTCATAATGCGCCACACATTTTCAATGGGAGACAAGTCTGGACTGCAGGCAGGCCAGGGGAGTACCCGCACTCTTTTGCTACAAAGCCACGCTGTTGTAACACGTGCAGAATGTGGCTTGGCATTGTCTTGCTGAAATAAGCAGGGACGTCCATGAAAAAGTCGTTGCTTGGATGGCAGCATATGTTGCTCCAAAACCTGTACCTTTCAGCATTAATGGTGCATTCACAGATGTGTACCGTATTTTCACGACTATAAGGCGCACCTAAACGTCTTTTTTTTCCCTCAAAATGTGGGGTGCGCCCTATGGTGCGGTGCGCCCTATCTGCGGACGTTGTTGAGACCACCATGAGTATGTGAGAACCTTAATCAGAATCAGAATCAGAAATACTTTAATAATCCCAGAGGGAAATTACTTTTGTTACACGCTCTAGTTACAAGGGGGAAGTGTGGGCGTGGCTTGTGTATAAAAGAACAGGTATGTGCTTTATGCAGAAAATTGTTGTCTTAACACATCCTGAAATTGGCAAAGAGACACGCCTATGAAGCCCAGTTTAAACTGAAGGCTATCAGCTACGCAGAGGAACATGGAAATCGAGCAGCTGCGAGAGAATTCAATATAAATGAATCGATGGTTCGCAAGTGGAGGAAGCTGGAAAACGAACTCCGACTGGTGAAGAAGACGCAGCTGAGTTTCCGCGGACATAAGGCGAGGTGGCCCGAGTTGGAGGAAAGACTCGAGCGGTGGATCGTGGAGCAAAGAACGAGTGGGGCCAGCGTTTCAACGGTCACTGTTCGACTAAAAGCAGTAAAGCTGGCGGAAGAAATGAAAATTGAAAATTTTCAAGGAGGTCCATCGTGGTGCTTCCGTTTTATGAAACGGTGCAATTTTTCCATCCGGACCAGGACTACAGTTGCTCAGCGACGTCCGGCGGATTATGATGAAAAGCTGGCGAGCTTCCACTCCTTCTGCAGCAAACACATCGCTGACAAAGTCATCCAGCCAAGCCACATCACCAACATGGACGAGGTGCCGCTCACTTTCGACATCCCGGTGAATCACACCGTGGAGAAGAAGGGGACCAGCACTGTAGCGATACACACAACGGGGTATGAAAAGGCGTCGTTTACTGTTGTGCTTGGCTGCCACGCAAATGGACAGAAACTGCCGCCTATGGTGATTTTTAAAAGAAAGACTTTGCCTAAAGAGGCTTTCGCAAAAGCCGGCATCATTTCCAAGGAGCCGCCCGGCATGGAAAGTGACTCTGACAGCAAAGAAGAAGGGGAAACTGGCATGTCGGATTTAGCGCAGCTGTTTAATTCAGAAACAGAGGATGAGGACTTTGAGGGGTTTGATTAATACTCTGTAATAAATATTTGAATAAAGCACAATCATACTCAGTTTTGCTCCCGCTCTATTTTTCTACCTGAAAACTTAATTCAACAGCAGCCTCTGGGCCGCGGCGCATCCGGGAACACCTCGGCAGGTGTTTTTTCATCTAAATCTTTTTAAGTGAGAAAGTCCACCTGAAAATTTAATCATTGCAGTCAGTTCATCCAGATTATTATCCTGCCTATGTTTTAAGTTAATTTATGCGTCAATAAACGAAGAAGAAGGGGAAACTGGCATGTCGGATTTAGCGCAGCTGTTTAATTCAGAAACAGAGGATGAGGACTTTGAGGGGTTTGATTAATACTTTGTAATAAATACTTGAATAAAGCACAATCATACTCAGTTTTGCTCCCGCTCTATTTTTCTACCTGAAAACTTAATTCAACACCAGCCTCTGGGCCGCGGCGCATCCGGGCTCACCTCGGCAGGTGTTTTTTCATCCAAATAATCTAAATCTTTTTGAGTGAGAAAGTCCACCTGAAAATTTAATCATTGCAGTCAGTTCATCCAGATTATTATCCTGCCTATGTTTTAAGTTAATTTATGCGTCAATAAACTGTATCAGAGGAGTAATCACAGCCCTGTGTCATCAGCGATGTGTCTCTCACGGCCGGTTCCCAGGTTTGAATAATACTTTGTAATAAATACACCTTGCAGCTTTATTTGCTGTGATCAGTGGGAATAAAGTAGTTTTAATATGTTTTTAAGTGGGAAAATCCACCTGAGAGGACATGTACCTGTATATAAAAAACGCGCCCTATAGTCCGGTGCGCCTTATGTGTGTGTTAAATACAGAAATAGCACACATAACTGAGACTGCGCCTTTTAGTCCGGTGTGCCTCATACCATCACAGATGCTGGCTTTTGAACTTTGCGCCTATAACAGTCCGGATGGTTCTTGTCCTCTTTGGTTCGGAGGACACAACGTCCACATTTTCCAAAAACAATTTGAAATGTGGACTCATCAGTCCACAGAACACTTTTCCACTTTGCATCAGTCCCTCTTAGATGAGCTCGGGCCCAGCAAAGCCGGCGGCGTTTCTGGATCTTGTTGATAAATGGCTTTTGCTTTGCATAGTAGAGCTTTAACTTGCACTTACAGATGTAGCGACGAACTGTAGTTACTGACATTGGTTTTCTAAAGTATTCCTGAGCCCATGTGGTGATATCCTTTACACACTGATGTCGGTTGTTGATGCAGTACCGCCTGAGGGATCAAAGGTCACAGGCATTCAGTGTTGGTTTTCGGCCTTGCCCCTTACGTGTAGTGATTTCTCCAGATTCTCTGAACCTTTTGATGATATTACGGACCGTAGATGGTGAAATACCTTAATTCCTTGCAATAGCTCGTTGAGAAATGTTGTTCTTGAACTGTTCGACAATTTTCCCATGCATTTGTTCACAAAGTGGTGACCCTCACCCCATCCTTGTTTGTGAATGACTGAGCATTTCAAGGAAGCTGCTTTTATACCCAATCATGGCACCCACCTGTTCCCAATTAGCATGCTCACCTGTGGGATATTACAAATAAGTGTTTGACGAGCATTCCTCAAATTTCTCAGTCTTCTTTGTCACTTGTGTCAGCTTTTTTGAAACATGTTGCAGGCATCAAATTCCAAATGAGCTAATATTTGCAAAAAATAACAAAGTTTACCAGTTCGAACGTTAAGTATGTTGTCTTTGCAGTGTATTCAGTTGAATATAGGTTGAAAATGATTTGCAAGTCATTGTATTCTGTTTTTATTTACGATTTACACAACGTGCCAACTTTTCTGGTTTTGGGTTTTGTAATTATGGTTTAAAAATGCAGCTCAAAGAAAGATTTCCTCTCACATTTGTGATTAAGTTTTTAGGAAAAATTTAGAAAACAACAGGTCCCTCTGATAAATGATGCCTCAGTGTCGATGAGATTACAGGTCTAGTCTAAAACAAAACTGAATAGTTAAAGTGAGAAGTTATTTGTTGTCCTAATAGCAAACAATCGGGATGTGCGGATTACGCTAATAAGATCATTACTGTCAGAAGGTTTAGAAATGTATTCAAAGTATCCTTTCAAGCTTCTTCTCTTTGTTTACTCAGATACAGAGAAATTTGCATCAGTGTTTTTTTTTTATGTGAGGAAAACCTACCAAGTGTTAATTATTTTCCAATGTTTAACATAAATATTATATTTTTGATAAATGTTTAAATGATGCATGAATTAAAAAAGCGGTTTGCAGTTTTCTTTGAGAGGAAAACATTGATTAGCATCTTACTGATTTGGTGTGTTCAGGGCGGGGAGCGACCACCGGCGGGGGCTCGGCCTCATCTTCGTCTTCATCCTCAGACACGGTCGCAATGACGGGCGTCTCCGACACGGCCTTGGAGCTCTGCGTGATGTCACAGGAAAAGAATGGGCGGAGCCTCAGTGACTTTATGGTTACATGAACTATCATCGACACCAGACCCATCGTTCCTTCCTGTTGTCACCACGGCTTCCTCTGCTACTTCTTCATCTCATCACGCTGATCTCCTGCTGCCTTTCTTAAGCTCAACTTCCCTTCTTTGCCTGTTTTTTTTAACTTTGCCTTTGTGTCTGTCTTTCCTACTTTCTCTCCTTCCTTCCTCATCGTAGGTGGTGTCTAAAGCCTCTGCTCAGGTTGGGCTCATGTAGCTGGTCCCTGTTCTCTCTCTATGTCTGTGTGATATTCAGATGCTCGGCTGGTGGCCAAGCTGCAGAGACAAGCAAATGGTGAAAGGAGGGAAAGATGCTGATTCACAATGCAGAGAGGAAGGGAGGAAAAGTGCATCTTGTAGAGCACCTCCCTCCCTCTCTCTATTTAGCCGTTTAGTTTGGTTTGAGGGCATCTGTCAGGCCAGACGACATTTACTTTGGAGAACAGAATGCGTCTATTTGAGGATTAATGAGCAAAACTTTCATTCAATCAAACAACTCTCCCCCCACACTTTGAAATATTGTACTCTTTGCCCACAAATCAGACGGACCATAGACTTTTAGAGGATTCTACTGAAATTTATGTTGTCATAAAGCTTTTGAGTGTGGAAACAGAATAAAGAGGAAAAATAACAGTCTAAACTGAGTACAGATATATACCCTCTAAATAGAACCCTAAAAAGTCCTTTTCTAAATACACTATAAAACCAGACGGTTAGTTGTTTTATATGATACAATTTCACTATACTTTTTGAAGTTCGCCAACAAACGTCTTCTTTGGTTTCCACCACTTTGAGCAACATGAACAAAAGATGCAGTAAATAAAAACAAACCATCTTAACCAAAATACACTGAAGCAAATGTTTCTAGGTGAAACTATGCTCCTTCATTAAGGTTGTATTTAAGGCTTTTGAAAACATCTTTACTAAAAGTGCGAATAATTTCAAAAGGTGAAATACATGTTTTATAAATAAACAAAAGGCAAACATGGAGTTATTTTTGTGTTTTTATCAAATTCAAGGAAAAAATTAATCTGAAATGACAATTTAAAGAGTAAAATTAATATATTGGAGACAAAAAAAACCTGAAGTTGAGACTGAAGAAAAACTTGAGAAAAACGTTTTCAGAAAAATCCTGAATCGAGAGCAAAGAAGGTTTTGAGAAAAAGAAAAAGTCAATTTTTCAGAGAAATGTTTTCACACTGATTGCAAAAAAAAAAAGTATTTGAGACTAAAAATATATTTTTGAGAGCTTTTTTCTCCTGGAAATCTTTCTTCAAATGATAGTCTTTTATTTATTCTATGACAAAATATCTTCTCTCAAAAGTTTTTTTTCAGTCTCACATAACATCAGTTTTTGCTATCAGTGTAAAAATTTGTCTTCTCTAATATATTTGTTTTACTTAAAAGATATTTTCCCCTTTCAGATTTATTTTTCTCTTTAATTTAACAAAAACACAAAACTAACTCCATACAAACACTGCTGTTTAAGGGTTTTAAAAATAGAGTAACTTTACAGATGTCTGATTGCTAGTTTTGCACACAATCGAAAATTAAAATCGCCTAATTTTATTTAGTGCATCAGGATTAAAAGTGAAAAAATTTTCTAAAATATTTTCAGGATGCCAAGTTACAATGTGTTTCCATAGAAACAGATCAAAGAGAAGTCTGGCAAAGGAAATTAATGTGAAACAGCTACAGTATAAACACAATTATTATCTTTGAACCAGCTTCAACTGCTTTATTTAGGACAGCATCAGATTTGACCTTTTCCACATGAAACATTTTTTAGATTGTGTTTTTTTTTTTTTTTTTTTTATAGCAAAACAAATGTATACCATTCATGCAGGTTTTAAAGCTTGAGAACAAGTACCGTATCTTGCGGACAATAAACAGCTCTTTTTTTCCCGCGCTTTGAACCACCTAATGCAAAGATGCAGCTTTTCTGTGGATTTTGCTTCAACCCCCAGGGGGCAGAAATCAAATAAGAAATAGAGCGAATTCTCATTTAGCACAAGCACATGCTATTGGCAGCCACGACGGAGAACAAATGTCCCGGATTCACACATTTTGACATTTATTTGCCTCATTAAAGCTGCCAAACCAGTGGGCAACATCTGCAAAGCTAAAATATAGAGCTGACGAAGCATAGTCTTTCTTTAAATGCTCTTACAGCGAGCCAAAAAGAGTTATCATTTATCTTCGTCCCCTGCAGGTTTGGTGGGGGGCAGTTCAGTTGATATCGCGGCTTATATCCCAGTTAAGCTTATAGTGAGGTGCGCTCTATATTCCGGCAAATACGCTAAACCTTATTAACTATTGTGTTGGTTTTCATAATGTGCCGGTTGGTGGAATAAGTAATGAGTAAACAGAAAAGGGCCTTACCGTTATGATGGAGGAGTTGAAGGCATCTGCAGTTTTATCTGCAGGACGATAAAAAAAGAAAATCTTTCTTACTTTTGTCAGAGTTCAAGAGATGAAGATCATGTTTCACGCTAAAAAATGTAATTATATTAATCGCAAATAATTAAACTTCCCTCATGTGCAAGTTGTCATCCGCTATTAACAACAGTGCTATCAGACATTATTTCTGTAAAATGTGATATTTCTTTACAAAAACAAATAAAGATTGTGTTCTTATATACTGTAGATACCTGTGAAGCTCATGTATTTCTGGCTGTTGGCCGTTTCCTTCGAGTCGTAGAACTTTAGGACATCGAGGACGGCCTGTGGATTCTTCTTCTGCTCCAGCTTCGTGATGTTGGAGGTCTGGAGAAGCCGGGCCCATTGCTCTGGCATGCCCTACACAGACAACCAGCATAATTTAACCTCTCAAAACCCACCGGGGGACCCGTTTAAAGCGTTTACATATAATAACTCAGAATGCATGAAAATTACACTGGTAAAATGTTTACCAATATAGACATGTTAGACATCGTTGGGAAGCTTAGATTCTCCACAATTCAACCACCTAGTTCATTTCATGGACATAGCGAGCACCGAAGAACAATTATAGCAGCATTTCAAAATGTAGCATGCAGGCTTATTATTATTTTCGAGAATAAAAACAACAACTTTGAGTCTTGTTTAAACTGATGGAGCTTGGGTGTTTTACTCACCCAGTGTTCATTTATATATTCAAAAACTAGAAGGTGTTAGCTTTCAAATAATGTATCACACATGTAATTTGGGCTTACAGTTCCTCGGCTCTTTGCTTTTCCATTTGGGTATGCAAAATAGACGAATTTCCCAGAAATGAGGTGGATATTAAGAGGTTAACAGTTAAAACGTTATTTATTCATTTCTTTTTACAATCTGACAATAAACTGAAAAATCTTGATGAGTATTAGAGAAATCCAACCTTTCTTTTATGCTGACCAGTTTTCCACATGTCTCCACAGGTGTTTTAATTATTTCTACATTATTTACTGATGGTTAGGTTGGAAGCACTCTTTAGCATTAGCTCCCTCAAAAGATTCTCTATAGCCCCATTTACACAACCTTTGAGAAGCCGTGCGAGATCGGTCTGAGCATGGAAACTGAGATAACTGTTGAGTGGCACGCACAACTGAACCGGACCACGCCAGACACAACCAAACCGCGCTAAACTGGTACTAGTTCATCAGTAGGGCTTGGCGTGGTTCAGTTTTGGCTCAGTTCTCAGATAAAAAGTGCATGAGCAGACCACGTCATCTCCTTACAGTCAGCCTCCGTAATCATGAAACTTCAGACATTCATAAAATATATAAGCTTCCTTACTGTGCCACATGATTTCCAGTGATGATTCTGCTTAGCAGTGTGATGAACCTTAACATCTGTCGTTGTTTCCTGCGTCTGTAAGCCCTGATCAGACTATTGCTTATTGTATCCACTTCCCAAAAGCCGACTCAAGTAAATTCACCAAAGGCTGCCTTTTTCACCCGACTCTCCACAAACAAAGAAATATCACAATGATAACAAAACCTAACTTCCTGAATGTTACAGGCGCCGCCATGTTGGTTTGCTTGTTTACATCTAGAGAGCAGTAGTACCATGGATCGCCACTAGGAGGAGAGGAACCGTGCCAGCGTGGTGTGTAAATGGTCGTAAGGAACCAAGCTCGGCAAGGTTAACTGATCCAAGCTCGGCAGGGATCGGTTTTCAGAGGGTAGTTTAAATGGGGCTTATGATTCGAGTCAGGACTGTCAGGGCTACTCTACAGGATCAAGCATGCTGGTAAAAAGCTTTCAAAAAAAAAAAAAAAAGTCAACACCCAACTCTGTCAGGGTCATGGATAATTTGTAGCTTATCTGTGGACCTAAAGCTCTGAAACAGTGATACTATAACCAGTGATGGTTATTTAGCAGCCTTTATTGGTTCTATGAGGTATATAAGTTTTAGCAAAGTAAAAACTAACCTACTGAAAAACCAGGAACCAGAACCAAGAGCTGATCGCTACTTGACCTCTATTCTATTTACCTATAGGGGGAAATTTAGTATTAGAAATATGAAACCATCTTATCTGTGCTCTAACCAAGAGTGTGGTCTATTAAGTGATACGTTCCTTCAGTGACAGACTGCTGCACACTAAATGCACCAGGGAGCGTTATCACAGATCCTTCCTCCCAGCAGCTGTAAGACTCTATAACCATCACTGCTCCCAACAACTTCAATAAGTTGTTAAATTCATGTTGATTTTGCACAGTTTCTACCTCAGTCAGTTCAGTAAAATCTTTTTGCTGCTGTAAACACCAGAATTTCCCTATTGTGGGACAATAAAGGATTTCTACCCTATTCTATTCTATTCTATTCTATTCTATTCTATTCTATTCTATTCTATTCTATTCTATTTAGAGATCAGTGTGTTTTCATGCTTCAACATTGAGTAGACCTGTGGGTATGAAAGATTTATCGAGGTAAAAAGCTTCTAAAAAAGCAGGAACATGTCTTATACATAAGGCAGCCATATTGGATTTTTAAATTAAGGGTTGGCTAGAAATCTCACAGTATTTAAAGTTTATGACTAAAAGGTGTTAATGGTGAACAATGGTTTAGTTTTGTGTTTTTAACAGCAGAACATAACAAATAGCAAAAAGCTATAAGCGGGATTAAAATGTCACTTAGAGAGGTTCTTTGTTCCAAGTGACAGTGATTTATTTATTAATTAATCAATTTAGAGATAAAATCTAAAAAAAATAACAATGATCCAAATCAAAGGTTCTCCAAAGCTCCTGATTTTAAAGTCATCCTCGGATTAAATTCTGACAATTTTCTAATGAACTATATTTTATTGAGACAATTTCGATGTAAACCTTGAGAGATTTCTTTTGCATTTATATTTTTAAATCAGCTCCAGGTAGATAGACCCCTGTGATATAACAACAGTTTGTCTGTGTGCAGCAAGATAATTTCTAAAGAACTGCTGACTAAAAACTCTGGGCTTCACATTCTGCCGGAGCCTCGAGTGGATTTTTTTCAATCCAGTTTCCTGAAAACATAACTTCCTACGTGTTTTTTACCCACAGTGGGTTTTTCTTAAGGTTTAACACATCTTTTTGTCCCCAACACTAAAAAATGACAGAGGGAATAGAAACAGCAAAATGGATGAAGACTTTTGCTCTGCGCCGTCCTACACAGGAAGGAGTCGTGTTGTATTTGTATTTTTGTTACGCAACTGGGTCACATCTCCTCGTTTTCCTGCTCTTTCTCTCCTCTCTTCTGTCGGAATCAGTCCATCATAACGTCGCTCAGTTTCTGCTTCATCACTCCCTCCCTCCTCTGCTCAGGTCTGACCTTTCCTTCATTTTCCATCCATCCATGATTTGCTAATCAGTTACTTTTTTTAGGCAACATTGTTAACCCAGACACTAAGAAAATGTCTTCTTTTTATACAGATAATTAAATAAACTGTGACCCAGATAACAAACCAGGAACCAACAAGCACACACTTAGATCAAATGGGAGTTTAACAGTACACACTGTTTAACTGGCAGCTAGAAGGGCTTGGTCAGGCGGATCTAGTGACTCAGCTCAACAAGGCGCCTTTGTCTAATGTGATCATTGAAAGGCTTTATTTGGCAAAGTATGTGATGTCTGTCCATCAAACTAACAGGCAAACACACAAAGCTTCTCACAGTCTTTAATTAGTAACCACACACACACAGTGTTTTTAGATGGGGACAGTAACAAAGACTTACAGTAAACTCGCCGGTAACAGCATCAAAGCCAACGTGGATTGTGTGTTCAAAGTCAGACGGCAGAGAAATCTCAGGACGTTCCTTCTTCTTATAGGCTGAAAAAGGGAAAAATAAATTAATAACTGAGAAACTTTTCAACATATTTACATTTTTGATTGAATGAACGAGAATCCAATATTTATTAAGTATATATATATTTTTTTATTATTTAAAAAATACATATTTTATTTTACTAATTTAGAATTACTTTTACTATTTATTTTTACTTTTTTTCTCCACTTTTTGATATTTGAATTACTGGTGTGAATTCATCCTTTTCTTAATGGGAGGGTATGTAAACTTTCAAGCACAACTGTATAAGAAATCTGAGGGAGAAAGATGACAAAGGAGAAACCATATGTTGGGGTGAGTTGTAATATTCTCCTGAGGGAAATAACAACTCCACAGCATGTCCCAATGGGATGACTAATGACACAGGCAACACCAGCCGGCTGCAAGGTATTATGGGTAATCCAAGTCTGGAAATGGACATGAGGGGAGAGGTAGCCTGCCAATGGTGGGAGAAGCACACTTGCATGTCTGGGTGAAAATTTCAGTTAGTTAAAGTTCTGACTTCATGGCTATTATGATTTAAATGAACATTTTAATTACAAAAAAATAATTTGATGCAATTAATAGATGTTAAGATAATTATCATTGATGATGTTTGCGTTTATTACACCTTAATATTAGCTGCCTATTGTGTGTCAGAACTGATGTTTTCCCCAGTAGAGTATCTGATTAGGCCAGTTCCTCGGTCCGCCTATATACAGTTATAATCTTCATTTTGTACTTGGCAAAGATTTGGAAATGGAATGAGAGCGGTGTCCTTCAGCTAAGAACAAATTGTAATAATTTAATAAGGCTGGAGCCATGGATGCCTCCTCATCTGCTAACGTGTATGATGTAAAATTTGAGGATGTGGCAGACTGGAGATGTATAAAACGCTTGTTTAACTGTTAATCATGGCCACTTCTGAGAGGTGGGCCCGGTTGGTAAGCAGCTGCCTTCTGTAAACTCTAAGCAACTTCTCTGATCTGAGTAAGATTACAATTTCTATCAAAATCTGTTGTCATGTCTCATGGTTATTTAATACATATAAGTTATGAAGTGTTATTTAAAAGAATTTGTCCCGAGTGATCTCTTTTCAGGGAAAAAGAACCGGAGAGAGAAAAGCTTTAAGGTGTAAACACAGAGCTTACCTTTAACATATATAAACAGTTTGATTATCTCCACCTAAATGGTTCAACTAGATGGTAAAACTAAATAATAATTCACTATGGTTGTTTTTCAACATTATGTATTTCTAGCTAAAACAATTAATAAGCATAAACCAAAGAGTTTATTTTAGATAAATGTTTAAATTATGCTTGAATTTATGTATGTTTTATAATTCTGTCATTATGACGAGTCTAAGCAGTAAAAAGGTCACCTGGTGGTTACTTGGATTTAAAAAGGCATGAAGCTCCCATATTAAAAATTACGACAGAGTATTATTGGGGATTTTTTTTTTTTTTTTTTTTGTATTACGAGAATAAAGTTGTAAAATTACGAGAATAAAGTAACAACAAGAATAGTCAAAAAAATTACGAGAATAAAGTCGTAAAATTAAGAGAATAAAGTCGTAATATTAAGGGACTAAAGTCATAAAATTACAAGAAACAAGTTGTATTTTATTACAACTCCTACAAAAAGCTATTTCTTCACTAAAATGAGGAATGTGGAGCATCATGTGAAGTTATACTTTGGCTCTGGTTTGACAAATAACGAATTTTTTTAGCACCAGCATCAAATGGGGCAGGATGTCAAAGCAGGATGTCAGGTTGCTGTTTGGTGATGATGGTTGGCCGCCATATGCTGGTCGGAGGCCGAAGCTTTTGTCCTGAAACGGGTTGTGATATGATGACTTCATTCTTGTAATATTACAACTTTATTCGCGTAATGTTATGACTTTATTCTCAAAAAAAAAAAAATCTCTAACCTGGCCCTAATACTTCACCGTAAAAAATGTATGTGGATATGACCGGAAAAAAAAAAAAAAATTTGACTTTAGAACAGGGTTCCTACAGCATAAGGCAAGTTAAATTCAAGACTTTTAAGACTTTTTAATGCCACTTGAAATAAAAATTTAAGACCAAATTCACAAGAAACACAAGAAAAACCCGCTTGCGACGACTTAACCTAAAGGTTTATTATAACATAAACCAATGCACTTAAGTTTCAAATTTTGAAAACTTTCCCATACAGGAAGAAAGCTAAAAACACACAAATGACAGATATATTTTAACAATTATTTAACTGAATTCACAAACTTTGTTTTAGCAGGGAACAAAACTAATCAGTTTTAAAGCCACAACATAACCAGGGCTAAGTCTTTTTTGTAGCTATTTTTCTTTGTATCGTTTTCTATGTTTGATTTGGTGATAAGTGGAGGCGTTGCAGAGACAAGGGTGGAACAAAACTGAGAAATACCGGCTGTTTCTCGGTTACTCGATTTTGACGCTTTGTGTTTCGTGCTTCGCATGTGCGACTCAACTGCCTTAATTCCCATCGTTCTGAGCTTGAATGACTTCTTGCACAAAATCCACTGTGCCTCATATATGTTCCCTGGTTTTAGCCATGGAGAAAATTCTTTTCATTACATGTACACTTGCTCATATTTTCCAGACAAAAAGTACATTGCGCGTCTCCCAAATGTCCCGGCCACAACAATGCTTTATTGGTTCCGCTGTCGGGACGGAACCAATAATGACGAGCCATTATTTTTAATAAAAAAAATAATGGTCAATTCTAACGTTTTATTTAGATTACAAAAATAAATCGTAACAAAAATAATCCTATTTATGATGTTTTAAAAATTAAGACCAACGAAAGACTGATTTAAGACATTTTAATTCCAATTAAGGCCTTTATTTTATTTTGAAGAATTCAATGCCTTTTAAGACTTTTTAAGGACCCGCAGGAACCCTGTAGAAACCCCCCACCGTAATTCATCCAGCAGTGATGAACAATCAGCAATCAATTATTGATGCTAAACTGAGCTTCAGCACTCAAGAGGAGTCACTAGTTAAGAAAGAAAACCTGCAGATTTTATGTCAGTTCTGGAACTGCTGACACTACAACAAACTGCCCTATGGAGACAACAAAGGTTAACTGACCTGAAATTCCCTAAAATCAACGACCCGATATTCATGCCAGCTCCACGCTTTCATGGGTCAGTTATGTGGAAGAGAAGGAGGATCAGGAGATTCCACTTATTCTGCAGCATTGCTCTCTTATTTGATGCAAACTAAAGAATAGCTTGTATCTGCAACTATACACATTACCTCAACTTGACTTCAGTGTAATACGTTTTCTATATCCACAGAGAGTAAAAATAGTAGGAAACTGCCCTGGAACCTACCACCCTAATGGGTTCATCCACAGGTTAACCACTGATTCGTGTTTTTAATGAAAGCTGACAGCCGAGGGACTAATTTGTTATTACTAAGCTTAAATAGCCTTTTGGCTAACAAGATGTTTTTACTGCAAACAAAAGCAGTTACAGCAGTAACTGTGTATACATGGATGCATACACAGTGCTATAGAAAGTATTTGCCCCCTATATCCAAACAAGTTTTAATATCAGGCAAGTCATAATCTAAAAATTACAAAAAGAAGTTGTTAAATGATGATTTCATGTAATCAATCAGCCATAACAACCAAAGCAGGCCTCCATTAAGTAATCTATCACAACCCTCTCATTAAACCACAAATTAACTGAAATTACATTAATTTTCCTTAAAGCTTAAAATTCACAAAACAGTAACAGAACCTAACTGACAACATGAAGTGGACCTAAAAAAAAAAAAAAAAAATTATTATTGCTAAAGAAATTCACATAGAAGTGCCAATTTTCTTTTTTTTCACCTAAGGTTTTGCGTAAAGAGGGAGATGATACTGCCACCTGTGGCCAAAACACAGAACTGCAGAACTCTTCTGCTCATTCTTGTAACTAGCGCGTTTTTGTTTGTTTTTTGCTTTTTTCACCTTACGCAGCTCCACTTTTATAGAATAACCTCCCACTGCACATTAGGGAGGCTCCTTCACTGCCAGATTTTAAAAGACGTCCCCAGAACTAACTTTTATTCGCTTACAGAACACTTGCAGGACTATGCTGTGACCTTGTTTATTTAGCTTAAAAAAACAGCATTAAAGATTAGCATCAATCTATAAATTACTCTGAGCTGTCAAATGAACTGATACACCAGCCATCAGCTAACAGGAAGTGTCTGTTATAACACCAACTGATAAATCCATGTTTTAAGTTTGACACATGCAAAAATATTTGGTGCAAATAATGGGATGAAAACATTTTTATATTATGCCAACTTCAAATCAGGACTAGAGCACATTTTAAGCAGGATCTTTGTAAGCAGACTGAGAAAAAAAAAGAGGGGACAGTGAGTTTAACTAAGCTGCAGAGTGAGACATAATGAGTTCAGACAGGTACGCTCTGTACTACAAGGCTCTGATGCAAAGCAGAAAGCAAGCTAAAGAAGGCTAAAGTATCTCTACAGAGTTTGACAAGAAAAACAGCTCTGACCACTATCACCTAATGACAGATTTATAAACAGCCATCTTTTAAAAAGCTGAGTTTAAAAATTAAATTATGGCTTTTCTTACAAATCAACTTGAATGGACTGAATATGAAAAAAAGGATCAAAATAATAAAATACATGAAACACTTATTATCCCCCATGAACCATCTATCAGTGGCGCCTGGCCAATAGAGGGTGCTTTTTAAACAATTTTAAATGAAAATATTTCAAAAATATATTAATATATATCTTTTAGACGTGCAGGTTAAATATTTAAACTTTAATGATGAGCAAAGCGTCATTCCATTTTCCGTCAGATTGGTGACATATTTCCATCCTAGGGTAACTATAATTCAGCTCTCCCTTTTCAGGACAACTTAATAAGTGGCAGCAAGAAAGTTGGTTGTTTAAGATAAAAACAGGTTAATTGAGTGATAAGTCGAGGAACTCACTCTTATCACTTCCTCCAGTCAGAATAAACCGAATGGAGCGGTCTTTCTTCTTCTTGTCCTCTGGGTTCGGTGGAAGCGGCTTGGAGCCATGGTTGAGGGGGATGGGATCTTTGTTGCAGGAACCGATCATGGTGCTGGTGTTCCTCATTGGAGGAGCTGGGGGCTTGTCCTCAACCTCCCCATTATCAGACATCTTCAGTTAGGCTGCAGCTGGCTGCTCCTGCACAGAAGCACACCAATCACAGCATGGATGGAACATGAGTCAATCTAACACAAGAACATACAAACAAGTATTAAAAAAAATAAAAAAATAACAGCTTTCTCTTATTTACATTTTAAATTTTTAACTTTGGTTTGGCTAAACCACATAACACAACAGGTCCAGACTGCAACAAACAATCAGCTCTGCAGAGGAGGTAATCTGGGCTGACTTCCCCTCATCCAGGTCTTGTGCAGGTCTAGAATCAGGCAGAGTGCTACTAACTCCGCAGACCACGCACATCCTGGACACAAACCGCTCTGGTTGCTCCTGGCTGTCTTTCTGCTGAACATCTTGTGGTCTGAGAGAACATATGGACACCAAATGTGCACCATTTCAGCTTTAGCTTCTTTATTTTGTGTATGGGTTATGCATATTTATAAGAACAAAATAATTTATGGGCTGCACAGTGTTGCAGATTGTAGTGCTGTTGCCTAAAAGTAAGAACGTCCTGGGTTATATATCCAGCCTAAGGAGTTTCTGCATGGAGTTTGCATGTTCTCCCTATGCATGCATGGGATTTCTCAGGGTCGTACAGATTCCTTTCACAGTTTGAATAGCTGACTACTAGGGATACAACAGTTTATGAAAACCGTCCGAACCGTTCGGTTCGACTGTCTCGGTTAGATTCGCGTGTGTTTCGTTCGGTTCATGCGGTTCATGCGAAGCGTTTACACTCCAGAGCAGAAGGTGGCGGTACTGTGACCAAAGCCAACCACCAGTAATAAACAAGAAGAAGAAGCGAAGCAGCGTAGCCTGCTGTGGAGAATTGTGTGGGTATGGCGAGTGGGAAAGAACAGGAGTTGGAAGACGCACCAGCAGCACTTTATAGGTCTACTGTATGGGACCACTTTGCATTTAGAGTGACCTACGTTACGGCGGAAAGAAAGTTGTGGATAAAAGTGCAACAGTGTGCAAGCATTGTGCAACACGTTTTAATTATGCTAACAGCAACATGACTAACATGTCAGGCTAAACCCAAAATCCCACATACTTCGTCAGCGCTCCGCTGTGCTCCAGACCGCCTGCGCAAAGCAAAGCCTACAGCCTCCGCTGTGGCTCCCGTCCGCTCCGCTCTGAGTTCCTTGGAGATCGTAGAGGGCATGCGTGAGATGATTAAATTCAAAGCAGCAAAACATGCGGAAATGATCCCGGGTTTCCACGGATCATTACAAATAATTGCAATTCATAAATTTTTTGTGATTTTTTCATTAATTTAATTAATTTTTATGGGTTTTCGGGGTAACAATCAACATATACCGAACCGAACCTAAAACCGTGACCATGAAACCGTGAACCGAACCGTGGATTTTGTGAACCGTTCCACCCCTACTGACTACTAGGTTAAAAGATGACTCTTAAATGTCCTTAAGTGTGAGTGAATGGTTGTGTGTCTCTGTGTTACCCTGCTCGAGGTACAAACCTCACTCACCCTGGCAGATCACAGGGAGGGATGGATAGACTTCATTTCCCACCATTTATTTAAACATTCATCATTAAAATGTCTTTACATTGAGAGCAAAATGTAACCAAAGTCTAATTCCTGGTTTTCAAGCACAAACTTTTTGAATGAAACAGATTTTGAGAAATTGCCTGTGTTGTAGGGGGCCAACAGTTCTTATGAATAGGTGTTATATCACTACAGATTAAGTGAATTAAATTTAGAATAAAAGCTGGGGTATTTTTCATAACTATATAGGACCAGAATGATACCAGTTTTGCATACATTTCTGGTTGAAGATGAACAACGATTACTTTACCTTATCATTATGAAGCAGGAAATGGGATTCAACATATTTCTGTGGATGTGAGTTGCCGGTGTTTTAGTGGAACATAAACTTACCCTGATGGGCTACATTTGGAGGAGAAGCTTCTAAAAATAAAATCAAAGAAACAAGCAGAGAGTTTCCATTCGCTCAGAGCGGTCAGTTTGATCTAAAAACACTAAGCTGACTGAATCACAGTGCCTGTTTGTTGGGTTAACATGGGTGTGCTGACTCACAGCTTAACGAGTCTTGGTCGAAAGATAACACCACATTTATGGACTTTGATGTATAAGTGTAACCTGCAGTGTGCACACACAGCTGAGAGGCAAAAACATCACATTTAATGACTGGTTCTAGCAACACACAAACACAGAAACTATGGGCTAACCTGATCTGTTAAACACTCCACTGAACACTGAGAGCCGCTAGAAGGATCTATGTAGGTCGGAGCTACGCGAGCAAATCAACACAGACAGACACAAAAATCAGGAATCTATAGAAACTTGAAACGTAAAGAGAGGGAACGCTATTAACGCCTTTTCCTGCACAAGAATAGAATAGACATTAATACATTAATGTAATTAAATTTTGTCACAAGCAGAAAGCAACGAAATTCACTCTCTACATTTATTTAACCCCTCCCTTGGGGAGCAGTGGGCTGCCATTGTGCGGCGCCTGGGGAGCAGTGTGGGGTTAAGGGTCTTGCTCAGGGACTGAGAGTGGCACTCTGTAGGAGTGGGGCTTGAACGCTGAACCTCTGGGTTCCAAGCGCAATGCCCTAACCACTAGGCCACCACTCCCCCGCCGCTTCCTGTTACTGTCCCTCCACCTCAACATGTCAGCATTTGATGTGCTCCTGACGCACTAAATTCAATCAGATCCAACAAAGTTATTCACTTTGTCTAAAATAGAAACTTCTGATGGATACTAAATTAGAAAGAACTCTGAAACAGAGAGCCTCTTATGATGTTCGGTCTATGCTCAGAGATCTGATCCGCTCTCCAGTCTGGTTCCATCACACCCATTGTGATGTTTACCAAGAGTCTGTTATAATAAGATATACCAGAGGGGCATATGAAAATACTCCAACCTGTGAAAAGAACAAGGCACTGACACCTGTATATCATTTAAATAGTTTATAGCTTGGATGTTGAGCTTGAATAATAATCAAATCTCCTCAGTGTATCCAACTCTACCATATAATTTTAAGGGTAACAAGGTAATTGAACAGGAGTACCTTCTATTCATGGGGTTGAAACTAAGTTAAATTTGACAGTATTATCCAAAAATAGCATTTTTTAGAACATTTGCCAGATTATTAAAGTCTGAATTTATGTCAACAAAAAAAAAATTAGAAGTTACATCAAAGACCTAAATTTATTCCAGATAAATACATCTTCAGTGGTGTTAGCCTCTGTAAATGATCTACTGCTGCTGTAATATTGGTCACATTTTTCCCCATTGGTTTCAACCCTATTCTTTACATAATACCGACCATTAAAACTTGTATGTATTAGTTTTAAAATTTGATAACCGAGCAAAGATAATCTGATGGCATCTGTGACCAATGTGCGTTTAATTTAAATGAGCAGATTAAGTGGAGCATCTGATTTTTCTGCATTGTTATGACACCTGCATCACAGGTGGAAATGTACAATTTTCTAATCAATAAAAACACCAATCAGCAGAGTAAAGTACACGCTTTGATGCATAAATGAGGACTATCAAGGTTTGCTCCATATAAATGTTAGTTTTAAACAAAATGAACATAGATTTGTTGGTATGAGTCATAATCTTTCAATAGAAAATTAAAAGTAGGAGTGGGCAGGTCAGACCTCAAAGAAAAAACACAATCATATTGACCAATTAAAGATTGGCGCATTGCCAGATCCCATTGAGGCCTATTGGAAACTTAGAGTCTACTTGAAGTCCTTCATGAGGAATCGAAGAGCAAATCAGCACGAACACTAAAACTGAAAAACATTTCATTCAAATCATAGCGCCAATTTACAACAAACGTCCCATCATGGCATTTAGCACAATGACAGATCCAGTTTATATCCTGCAAAGTCTGGTCTATTAAATCCATTACAAACAACCGAATCTGATCGTAGTCATAAAAAAACTGCGGCCAAGTTTGGTTTGAGCCATGTGGTAGTAAATCTGAAACTCAGCCGACTGCATGGATTCACAGAATTTATAGCAAATCCCCTTCCTACATGGGAATGTCACTACAGTCGTAAAGCTGTGCTTTATGCAGCTGTTCCTATCCTAATCTAAAAGTTTTCTTATATATTAGATAAAAACAAACCAACACCTGTAGAATAAAACCTAGCAGAACAACAGCAGTCATCCCAAACTACCCTCTCTGTATCAGTAATGTAATATTTCAGTGTGTTAGAAGTTGAATGAAATCTGGATCTAAAATATCTGGTTGTCATAAACTGTACATGCAAAAAAAAAAAAAAAACTCCCAAGCTCATAAAAATCAATCCCATCAGCATCAACAAAACACTTCTAAAACTTACATTAGATTAAAGCTTGAATTTGACTAATGAAATAAAACCAAACCTCAGCAAAAGCAGATGTTCTTCAGCTCTGAATGAGAAAAGAGACCGAGACTGAAACCATGAAGCCATGTGGACTTTCACCCGGTCCAGCCTCCAACAGATGGTGACATAGGCCTGATGTCAGGAGGTGAGTCACACGTGGAAGTGGGAGATGTAGTAAAAGTTCAGAGACAGACAGAAAGGCAACTAATTGCCCCAGCAGAGTTTTGGCCTTTTTGTTTGACACAACAGACACACACGAGAGCAGCCACTCAAACATGAAGTGCAGATACAGACGCAGTGTGTTTGGCTTAGCAGCCATCACACATACAAACAGTCATTGTTTAGAAGGAAGTGATGGAGTCTTTGTTGTCTGCCTTTGCACACACACACACACACACAGAAGGAGACAGCAGATTTCTCAAATTTCAAAGAGTGCTGTCAGTTTCAGCAGATCCCCGTTTCCAAACAAACCCACATACTGTCTGCTAGACCACAAACAAAAGCATACAGTTACCTTTCTGGTCTGGATCTGCTAACGAGGCTTCCCTAACCGGCAGCAGACCCTGTCTGATTTAGTATATCAGGTCCTACAACCTAACCCGAACCCAGCAACTTTAACGTAGACTTCTGACAAATTATAAAA